CTCAGGGAAAACCACAGGTGACACTGAGCGTTTTCGCGAGCCGCAAACAGATCCACAGAGGGTTCCCCGAACTTGATCCATATCTGTGATATCAGTGCGGGATGCAGATACCAGTCGGAGTTGCGGGGTCCCCCTCTCGACAGGATGTCTGCTGCCACATTCAGGACCCCCGGAATGTAGGTGGCTTTGATGAACAGCTGGTGGACATGTGCCCAACACAGGAAATCTGTGGCTACGCACAATAGTGGGAGGGATCGAACTCCCCCTTGGCGATTTATGTAGGCTGCTGCCACCTGGTTGTCTGTGTGAACTTCGACATGATGGCCATCGAGAAGGGCAGCGAAGCGTCTGATCACATTCGTCACTGTCATAAGCTCCAACAGATTTATGTGCTCGTGCGTGTGGGAGGGCCAGCTATCTGCCACCGTATGGGACAAGCACGTGCCCCCCCATCCCAACAGTGACACATCCGTAAACACAGATATGTATGACGTTGGACGTCAGATGGGGACCCCGTGTGAGAGGATGCAGGGATTCTCCCAGTGAGCGAAGTCCCCGCCCACTGAAGGGGGAACCCTCAACATACATCTCTTCTGACATATCGGGTGTACCCGGAGGCGGATGAACCAACGCTGCAGGCGCCTCGTGTGCAGTAAACCTAACGGCACCACAGCGTGGGCTGCAGCCATCATGCCCAGAAGTTTCATGACTAACAGGGCTCTCACGATCTTGCGGGGTTGCACGCGGGAGATCACCGTGGTGAGATCTGCCGCTCTTGCCGGAGACAAACGTGCTCTCATCAGGGAGGCGTTCAGCTCCACCCCGAGAAACACAATCGACTGGGATGGAAGGATAGAGCTCTTTTCCCAGTTTATGGAAAACCCCAGGGTTGACAGATGCTCTATTAAGTTCCTGGTTTGCTCCGACGCCTCATCTTTGGACCGGGCGCATAGGAGCAGATCGTCCAGGTAAAATAAAACCCTCATTCCCACCGTGCGCAATGGCTGCAGAGCGGTCTCCAGACATTTGGAGAAGGTGCGCGGGGCTAGCGAGTAGCCGAAAGGGAGACGATTGAACTGGTATTGAACTCCCTTGAACGAAAAGCGCAGGAACTTCCGGTGTTTGGGAATTACTGGGATGTGGAAGTATGCGTCTTTCAGGTCTATTGATGTGAACCAGTCCCCAGAGCACACGTATTCTAGGACTTGCCTCATGGTTAACAGGCGGAAACGCATCACTGCTATGGAGCAGTTGAACAGGGAAAGGTCGAGAATTGGTCTAATTCCTCCCGACTTCTTCGGTACTACGGGAGTAGAAGCCTGAGAGCTCTTGTCCGCGAGGGACTTGGGAAATGGCGTCCTTGGACAGAAGTTCCCACAGCTCCAGCTCCAGGGCCTGAGATTGTTCCCGTTGAAGGGAGGAGGAGCGGACAGAAAATGGAGTGTGTGACCGCAATGAATGGTCTCCGATATCCATTTGCTCATGAGACAAAGGCGGCGCCATTCTTGCGCGCGTTCCGACAGCGGACGCGTGTTCGAGGTCAGGTTAACGACGTTTGAGGACTGGGTTTGCGCCCTTACCGCCGTCGCTCGCACCAGAGAACTGGGAGCGACCCATGGAGGGCTGCGCTCAAAAGGGCGAGTGTGAAACAGCTGGAAGAGGCTGATCCGCACCGCGGAGCGTGGAGTCCAAAGTTAAAGGACGAGTGGGAGCCGGGCCCGTGCACGGGGATGACAAAGTGCCAGCGGATGGAGCCACGCACTGTGTCGCCGCACGTGGTCGCGACAGCGTCATGACATCCCGTCCCACCCAACGTTGTGGGGGAAGCGGAATGTGTTGGGCCTGGCTGGAAGCTGGGGCCGGTGTGCAAATGGACCGCACCCGTACAGCTGGCCGTGTAATATGACTGACTGCGGGAACATGCAGATGTGTCGCTGTGTGGGGAACATGTGTGAGGATTCGGCAGAGGACTGTAGGATTGTGCTCTCTATGTGACGTTTTTTGGGTTTTATTTCAAAACCAACTTCATTCACAGAGTTATTACAGTCATAAGCACACATTCCCCCCAACGAGTCATTTTCGTGGTTGATTTTGGCAAGGTTCCTGCAACTGTGACTGCCAAGATGGTGTCTGCTGGCTCTTTCGAAACCGTTGGCCGCCAACTCTCTGGTCCTGCTGAGGTGGAGCCGAAGCGGGAGGCCGGCTCCGTGGGGCGGGTGGTGCAGCTGGGCGCCTGAAGTTTCCGCGCCGTTCGTCCCATCATCTGGAGGAACGGCCGGAGTGCGAGGCTGACCGAGGGTGGACCAGGTCTTGCACCGTGGCTGACAGTTCAGCTGTCTTCTGAGCCCTCTCGATAACGCTCCTAAGATGAGGACCAAACAGAACGTCAGAGGTGATGGGGCCTTCCAGCATCTCCCTGTGCAGGTGTTCAGGAATGGAGGGCAGGGCCTTGAGCCACAAGGCCCGCTGGATAAGGGTCTGCAAGGCAGCAATGCGAGCAGAACCGGTGAGTACAGCAGCGCACAGATTGAGAATGGCATCAGTAGTTTTAGTAATGATGGTTTTTGACTCGTCAGGAGCGTCAAGCTCTTCCACCATTTTGGAAAAGCCAAAGGCAAGAAGGGCGATGTTATTTCCTGCAGCGCCGGTCTGGAAGGCGCACTGGTGTGCGCGGTCGGTGAGCCGCGTCAGCAGCTGGTCATGCTTAGAAGCAGGAACTGCTCGCGGGCCAGCGAGGTGGTTCTTGGCGCCAAACAGCGAGGCCAAGTCCGGCTCCAGTGGAGGAACGGAAGGCCAGCCTTGGTCGGAGAAGCCCTCGACCTTGGTAATGGGTGCATATGTGGAAATTGGCGCCTTGATCTTAGCAGGTTCGGAGAAGGCGGCGGACCAGCAGCTCATGGCAGTGGGGAAGCATGGCCAGATGGTGTCTGGACAGCGCGTCTGCGTTGCCCCGAAAATTCCCGCCAAATCATCTGCTTCAGGCGGTTCTGGCACGGCTAGCCCCTTGCGGAATGCAGCCGCGGAGATGATGGCGGGCAGCTCCTGGAGCAGTGCTCTAACTGCTGGCAGGGAGGAGCGAGAAGTCACTGGAGCAGAAGGACCCGCTGAGCGAGGCTCGTCGACCTCCGTGTTGTCCAGGAGGGAAGAAGGGCTATGGCAGCCAGCCTCGTCGTACTCCTCACTGTCGATGACATCGTCCAGTCGGTTGAAGCCAGCCGGCTCCTGGCCGACGTTGAAGAACTGTAAGGCCTTGTCCAGCGAGTACGTGTCAGCCACCAGAATTTCCTCGGCGGCGGCGGGGGTGAAGTACTCGACCCGGCGGATCTTTTCAGCCGCGGGCAGAGCTGCACAAAACGGGCACATGGCCTGGGCGATCAAGGCCAGGCCAGCGTGATGAGCACCGAGACAGACCTCACACTTGGCATGCAGGTCGCCGCTGGAGATGGAGCCCGTCTGGCAGGCCGGGCAGGTCCTGGCGTCCCTGGACATGGTAGGTGAGTAGAATGCTTCTTGGATAAATGCTCTTTAAAAGGAAGCTCTTAAGCTAGGCTTGAAGAGATAACGGAGGCGAACAGTGGAGTCGCTCCACTTATATACCCACAGGGGTGCTCACCATTGGTGGGCATGCATTTAAGCTCTTCATGATTGGCTGATGCTGAGATCATCCTTCCAATAGCAGCTAGCTTAAGGGCTAAGACTAGACGAAATAGAACAATCTGGTTCTGTCTTATGGACTGAGAATTAGTGACTCCCTGCTAGTTTCTGAGATCACTGATCAGTTCTGCGGTTTGAATGCTGTTCTGCAAACAAAACTTTATGTCACCCACAGCGTTTATGCTACTGAAACAAATTTTGTCTCAAAAGTAGGAATTGCCAGCTTCTGTAGCCAAGGATCAGACCACCAAGGTCCCCGCCCTCAACTACCACCCGTCACACACTGCACCTGACCCCTTTGGCCTCTCCCACGTGTGGTGAAACCATGGGAAGGGGGACCCACGTTTCGTCTTCGAGCTGTGCTCGGCTGGGCTCCATGGGTGAAATCCCAGCCACCAGACGCTCGCCAACGTACCCCACCTCCAGGACTGGCTCCAGTGGGGAGTCCCGGTGACCCGCGCCCAGGCGAGGGAACACGGTTTCCATTTATGCTTTTCATCATAAGGAGTCTTTTGGCTGCTCTTTGTCTGATCCCTCACCAAGGACCTGTTTGCCATGGGCGACCCTACCAGAGGGATAAAGCCTCAGACAACTTAGCTCCTAGGACCATTTGGACACTCAAACCCTCACCACAGTAAGGTGGCTGCTCAGGGAGAGTATCTGGGAGTCATCCAAGAGGGGCTCAGTGTAGATCTGCTGCTCCTCCACATCGAGAGGAGCCAGTTGAGGTGGCTCGGGCATCTGATTAGGATGCCTCCTGGATGCCTCCCTGGTGAAGTTTTCTGGGCATGTTCAACCGGGAGGAGGCCTAAAGAGAGACCCAGGACTATGTCTCTCACCTGGCCAGGGTACGCCATGGGATTCCCCTAGAGGAGCTGGTTCATGTGGCTGGGGAGAGGGAAGTCAGGTTCTCTCGACTTAGGCTGCTGCCCCCGCAACCTGACTCCGGATAAGCGAAAGAAAATGAATGGATGGATGGAAAGTAGGAATTGTTGTCAGCTTTTCCAAAGGGTTTTCATTATGGCTGTACATATTACGGTTCATCTGCTATGTGCCTCAGAGGGAGATGAATGCCATTTCTGCTGCCATCGGCCTCCATTATAAAAAGGAGCAGATTTTCTAATTTGTTCACTCTCAAACTCCTGTGATTACCTCATTATATCTCCTACAAATATTGAGCTAAACACACAAAAACTTCAACACTCGACCACTGAAGCCTTCTGCTGTCCATGGTTTGAACATTTTTAAAATGGAGCTCATAGTTTTTGCACAGAGTTCATAAAGGTGAGGACAACATTTTGGGGTCCTCAGCTGCATTTGTCACAGACTCAATGATTAACACTCACATTTCTCATTGGAGCGTAGATCTTCGTGGTTTTTTACGGCACAGGACATGTGAGAATGGAAGCTGATGACAGTCAGGTCCTGACTCTCACAGCTACTGACAGGTTTTCCGTTCCAGTACCACCTAAAGGCGGTGTGCAGGTCAGCAGCGGGGCACTTGTTGCCACAAGTCAAAGTGACCAGATGTTCCTCTTGGCTTTTCCAAACCTGTATTTCTGATGAATGAACATAAAAAGAAGAACCACATCAGTGTCATTTTTCACGAATGATGTGTTTTCATGTGGAAACATCACCTCTGGGATACGTGATGGAGCAGGGTTTATCCACTGACTTCCGCTCATGAGAGCATATTCTCCCATTGGCGTAGGTCACAGTGAAACAATCCCGAGTCACAGAATCTGCACACAAGAACTCCAGAGCAAGCTTCAACTTTTAAAAGACAGATGTTAGAGGGAGGTTTTTGGGATGTGACTCACCCACGGAGACCTCAGGAGCTCTATGAGCCTCATAACCTTCTGCAGCGCAGGAATATTTGACAGAGTCATCGCTGCTGACCAGCTCTTGGTACCAGGGAGACCAGCTGTCATAAACATACTGCCTGTTCTGGTACCAGACAAAAGGTGCAGGCGTTTCAGGCGGAGAACAGCTGGTTTTGCATATCAGAGTGACTTTTTCTCCCTCTGCAGCAGGAATCACCTTCACCTGCAGATCTGAGAGGATGTTCAGTTAGTGCACATTCTCCACAAACACGCAGCAGAAATGAGCTGCTCTACCTGCCACGTGTAGCTTGGTCTTGCTGCTCCAGCAGAGTTTAGGATCTTCACTGGATTCTCCGCAGCAGTAAAAGTCTTTATTACTTTCTGTCACATTTAGGATCGTCAGAGTGGCGTTGCTGTTCTGAGTTGCATTGTAGGAGACATACCTTCCGTCTTGTGGAAGCTCTTTCAGAATAAAGGTGGAGTTGTTTTTGTTTATAGTGAACCAGCTCATGTTGCCAGAGTTAGAACAGGTCAGATTCACAGATGAACCCTTAAAGACACAGGCGTGCTTTGTGGTTTCCTCCTCAGCCCCTTTAAAAATAGCGGAAACATGTTTTAATTTAAGGAATAAACACAATGAATTTAGCATCACGCCCATAAAAATCCAACATTTACCAGAGAAGAACAGGAAGATACCCATAAAAACCAACGTGGTTTCTGACAACAGCATGGTGACATCAGAACCTCAGGTCCTGATAAATACATTATAACCACACATGCAGATTTACTTTATTGCCATAGCAACAGTAATATTAAATGTAACTGATGTAGAGTGTAACCTACCAACCAAACCGAACAGCAGAGGTGTTGGAGAAGCTTCTGACAGTGTGGACTTGAGTTGGTGAATAATGCAGCTGCCTGCAGCTGTCGCACCAGAATTCATCCTCCTTCCTTCCGTAGTCAAATATGTATGTGAGATAATCTGTCAGAAAAAAAAGTGATGTCACGTATTCACGCACAAAATCTGTGGTTGCATCTCAACAAACGGACTACTTTTATCTTTTTAAGGCTTTACTCACAATCTTGTTGATTGTGACTTCTTGACAGCTCACAGTGGACATTCCTTTTACGTAAAAATGATATTAAAATATTTTCACTGCAGCATAAAAATGAGATCTGGGGCTGGTGGTGCAAACCCACTGAGCAGCTGCAACAAATGAAATTATGCATTTCAAAAATAGAACATTCAACCTAGATGTTGATGCTAAAGCACACCTGACACAGAAATACCCTCAGAGGAAGAGAATCACTGTTTTCTCTTTCATTCCTGCACATGTTGCACAGCCGTCCCCACTGAGGCTCTACCATCAAAACACGTCTAAAATCAAGCATCATGAATACATGAAGCAAAGCAACAAGTGATTTTTAATCAGCAAACTGTCAAACCGAATCCCTAAATGTAAGCAAACAAATCCCAGATTAACCTGAAACATGCAGAATGCCTCAAACTTCACCTGAATCTTTTCAAAGTTTAAATTACCTTGACAGAACACAATGTTAATCACATTAAAGAGAATTATAACTACTTTTGTTTCTTTTATGTAAAGAAAAAACAGACTTTATATAATTTTTTGCTGTTTTTGACCTTTATTTTGGTAACAAGGCAAACAATTTTAGTCACAACTTCTAGACCAATCATTTTAGAAAGCTTTAGTTTAGACAAATAAAAAAATTTAATATATAGTTCATTTAATGCATTTAATGCAAATTCATTTCTGATATGAACATTATTGTATGAAGATCTTCCAGAGATACTGAAGTTAGAATCACAGGGAAATGTCTCGGGTACTCATTTGACCCAACAGCTAAAGCATAATAAAGACTATTTTCTTCTTATTAGATTTTTTGGAGGTGCTGTTTAAAAAAAAAAAGGATGCAAGTGATTGACTATCTGCAGGTTCAAGAGAAGAACTGGTGTCAGTCTCAGTTATTCAATTGTATTTAATGTATTTTTGGAGTTATTTGTCCTCTCCAGGAGGAAAGCCACAAAATTATTCAAACACGCCTGCAGCTTTGAGAGCTTTGGTGTGAGAGTGGGTTGGTTTAGGGAAGTGTGGTGCTGCCTATATGTGTATAAATAATATTTAGTATTATCAATAACTTTTTTCAACTCTTTCATCTAATTGTTCCTAGCTAATGACATAATAAACCATTATCTCATCTGATCCTGCACATTTGTCATGACCAGATGTTCACAAAGAATGAAATGAACTAGACTAATGATCTTAATATGACCTAATAATCTTAGGTGTGTTCTTGCTGTGTCTTTGTAAATCCATGCTTTCGTTCTTTTTTAAACACAGAAACAGTTTTGTTTACCTGTTTGTAGCTACAGTTTCGCCGACAGCTGCCGGCTTCTTCAGGCTGACGCTGATGGTGGCGCGTCACTTCCTTCTCCGTTTATCTGCGGGCAGCAGAGGACGTTGTCGCCTTCTACTGCCCGCTCTCCCCTGTTTCTGTGTTTAAAAAAGAACGAAAGCATGACCTAATAATATTGATGCATTTTACAATAATGATCAATTTCATATGAATAAAAACAGAACGATTTGTGACATTTAAATTGCACAAGTTAAAAACGTTCTTTATATAAAATAATAAGGTTGCTTATTTTTAGAGTGGGCCTATTTAGTGGCTGCTTGTAGTTCTGACGCATGGCCGCTAGAGGGAGACAACGCAACTTCGGACTAAATCCAGGATAAAAGCGTGAAAATAGTTTTATAAAATATTCTTTATTTTAGAGGTGAAACGTCTAATATTTGGATTCAACTTTGTGTCTTTTGCTTTCCCAAGCATCGCTGAGAAACGTTTTGATTATGTGAGTTTGTGGTAAAAAAAAACGTAGAACTACAGAAATTATGAGGCAAAGTAAACCTCACCTCAGCTCCCAGGTTCACATCAGGAGGCAGGGTCTCCTCCTCCCCCTCCTCCTCTCTCGCACAGCCTGTTCTCTCCTCTCCGCTGATCTCAGTTTAGTTGACCAGCGTCGCAACTGGGCGATGCGTCTCCGTCAGAGCCTCCGCATTTGGAAGGAAAACCCCCTCAGTGTGTCCTCCAGCTCGCGAGACAGCTACTGTCTCTGATCCTCGGTTTTTGTTTTTGACAAGGTTTTCGATGCTCTATTTGAAAACCGACTAATTATTTCTAAACAAACTTTGAACGATTCCCCAAGGAGGGTTTGACGGTTTTTTAATTCAATTCTGCAGACAGTAGAGGCAGCAACTCACTGATTTTGGGATGTCTCAGCTAGACCAACTCGCTTGATTTGGGTAAAATTTGAGCTGAAGGCTTTGACAGCATCTTCTGGTAGACTACAGAAGAGAAGGAGGCGTCATAAAGGACCACAGGCTCTACAAAGGTAAATCAAACAATTCTTTACCACCACAACTACAGATGTTCTGTTGCACAGGGTCGTTTTTTTGGATTTTGTTCTTTAGAAGCGGTCTATTTAAGAAAGTATATTTAAGTAATGTTAAATGAACTAAACAGATGTTCACCGAACGAGTTAAAGATTCTGCAGCTATGATTTTAATTGCTCATCACACTAGAGTGGTTCCTCAGGGTCTTATTCTGGGCCCCTTTTTAATATTGCTTGTGCATTGCATGTTTTTGTAGACAAAACTTCTCAAGAACCACCAGGAGAATTTTAAGGTTAATTTACGTACTGTTGGTGTAAGTTTTCACAAGAACTTGGACTGAAATGCTTTCCAATAACTATGATTCACATCATCTATTTATCTGCATCATGAAAACAGCATCAACATCTGACAACATCACACTTTGTTTAGAATACCTTATTGCTCATTTCCACGAAATGCTGCTGCCGTTTAAATATACCATTCCATTGTGTGGTTAAATTAGATTAAAGTCACAAGAGTTTTACAATTTCAGAAGTACATGAGCTAAATTGTTGCCACAGTTTTTTCCCATGCAGGTCATCTCTGTTCTTGTCATAGAACAACTTTTATTTAAAGTTCTTTGAGTCTCTATGTAGCAGATTGTTGGGGCTCAATATTGGCCAGGAGCCATGATAAAGGGTCAAATAATACCCCGTAATAAAGCCCTACAATGGAAATGACTACAATAACTGGTTTATGCCACCCTCTCTGCCAGGGCATGAATATTAAATGAGCTGGATGTTGATTGGCCAGTTTAGTTATGGCTCTTTCATGCTTTCTGATGCTAGTGTACTCAATACACAAGCTATGGATCTATCTGGCATTTTTTCAAAGATACTCCTAGTACATCCTGGAATGTTACATGTGTGCTCAGAAATTTGCTAAAAGCACAATTTGGGGGTCTTAAAGCAACCATTTTTGTCATGCTTCTAAACAACGTTTCAACATGGTATTAGCTATAAATATATTGTGTAGATAAAATAAATCAATAAATAAATGAAGTGGTACTCTTGCGTTTGTCTAAAAACCTCTGCCAATAAAACAGCTCGGTCCGAAACCAGCCATTGGACATTCCGGTTGTCGGTCTTGCCGAACTGCTTCACTTCCGCATTTACCTTGGTCCTCCATTCATTACACACTTGTGTATTTAGCAACAGAACACCGCTGGTGTGAGATGTTCTCGGCTCAATAAAATCAGAGAAGGAGAAACAGCCGGCTGCTACCACTTCAACTTCAGGACAAACTACCTGAGTCCTAAAAAGAAAAACACTATTTGAAATCACGAACAACAAAAAATGTTCAAACCTGGTTCAAAACTGGTGTTTAGCGCTTTCTTGGTTATTGTGGCAATGTGGCAGTAGCGGTTTTAGGCACGGGCAGACAGGGCAGTTGCCCGGGGTGGCATTTTTTCATGACACAAAAGGGGCGCACAAGCGCTGAGTAAAAAAAAAAAAAAGAAATCTGCGCCGCACCGAGGTTTTCTATTATCTGTCATATGACAGTGTCTGGATTGGAAACAGCAAGTTGGCACCCCCTGCAGCTACAGGCGCTCCTGCTGACTGAGAACGTTCATGTGCACCGTGTATGAAGAAGAGGAAGGGGAGGGGTGCGGTGGGGGAATTCACCTGTGGGTCTTTCCCAAATGAAATGAGCGGGTAGGGGCTGAATCAACTGTATTAACATGGCTAAAGTCAATCACATCTTGATGTTCTTCCATTTAATGCACATTTCATTCATAATATCATAAACACAGGCCTATCATTCTTTCAGGTTTTTCTGAATTGTGTGAAATGGCCGAATAAAAAAAGGACAAACAAAACGATTTTGTGGTCACCCCCCATCAAGGTCAAATTGTTTAGTCCTGACTAAAGGAAACTTATTGAGTCAAGAGCCAAACAGAAGAAATGAACATAAAAAGGCTAAAACCACCAGGTGCCCGATTCAGGAAAAAAAAAAAGAAAAAAGAGGAGAAAGATAAAGGTATGTAGCTCTCATGATGCATGTTTTCAATTTTTTGAACCAGTTAACTGGGATTTTAACGGTTAAATTCGGTCAACTAATTGCTAACAGAGCTAATAGGGCTGAAATATTGAAACAAATATTCAAATGGTTAAAAAAATCCTTCGTTTTTTACTGATTCAAACTAGGATTTGTTAAATGCTCGCTGCAGCCTGTGGCCTGCCTGAACAACAACAAACACATGTTGATCATGTTCACATAATAATAAATAAAACAACTCTACAAGCAGAAGAAAACTGCCCAGTCACCACTAACTATGCTGTTTATTTATTGCAGATGGCTGCACTGATTATTTTTACATGATTTGTTCTGTAAAAGTTGGCATTTTTGGTAGTCTACAGTTTTTTTATGTCAGTTTAAATTACAATTTCAGAGGCAATTCTAAAATATTATGGGTCATGATAAAGATCTATTGGAGATCTACCCCAACTTTTGGACTGCTCTGCCAGTCACTGTGGCTCAAGCTGAGAGGAGCTTTTCAAAACTTGATCAAGTCATACCTGAGGTCAACTATGTTTCAGGGGCGGCTCACTAACCTGGCTTTGATTAGTATCAATCACTCAGTAGGGGAGCAGATTTCATATGATGACATTATTGATGACTTTGCATCAAGGTTAGGTTTTAATTTTAGTTTGTGTTTTCTGTTCTAAGTGCAATGCTGTAGTGATTATCTTTAGTTTGTTATGTGTGAAATATTTTTGCTATTTAGAATATTTATTATACATTATGTTCATATATTCTTAATATTTAGTTAATGTTTGTTTTTGTATATTTGATTCTATATATTTTGATACAGTATGTAATGTATATTGCTTTACATTCGGACAACTTCATAGTAATTAATGTAAATATGTGCAATAGGGTTGTCACGATACTAAAATTTCAAACTCGATTCGATACTGGGAAAAAAACTCGATACTCGATTTCGATACTATTTAAAAACACCAATTTATTGTAATAGTAATAACATTCCTCAATTTATATTGCAAAAATTAGATGTTAAGAATTAAGTGTGTAAAGTGCTTAAACCTTTCAAGTATCAGCATTTTTTAAAACGTGCATACAAAAACTGGTGAAAGTTAACACTTTAAATCATGAATTGTCTCACTTTATATACACTATTTGCAGAGTGATGTTTTGCTGCTTAAACTATGTTTAAGGTGCATTTTTGTCATAAGCTGTAATACCATATATTTTGTTCTGTACTTTTGAACAACTCTGTTGGTCAATAAAGGGAGATAACGAATTTCTCCACAGTAGGACAAAGGTACATCTACCGGTAATCTTAATAAAAACAGATTGGCGCACGGCAGTGACGTCATTAAAAGCTCCGGTTAGATTAGCCGCGGCTAGTCTGTTCATGCCTAGAAATCCCAGACTCGCTCCAAACGAACAGGGGGAATTACGTTAATGAATCCTAACAAAACCTTTCGACATGAAGATGTTTTGGTGCAGTCTTATTTCGAGGCTGCACCATGGGTGCCCGTCCGCAGCCGTTATATGGATATACACTGATGGCGATTCGCCGATGGATCTAAATACCCCGGGGAATCCAAGTAGCACCAAAGTTGTCAGCGTGAGTAAACAAACGTACTGCATGCTAGAAATTAAGTCCGGGTTGCAATAAACGGGAGTTTTCCTGTAAGCACATAAGCGTGAATATACAACTACGTGTCGGACTTGGTATGCTAATTAAGTTGGGCTGTGAAGCGCCTCCCAAATTCGCTGTTTATGTTTTTGTTTATTTATTTGGCAGACAAAACTTGGATCGGAGACAACTCGCGTGGGAAATTGCAATGTAGCCATGCGGCGTCTTCTTCTTCTGTTTGTCTGGGAGGCGGAGGCTGCTTTACGGCATCTGGCTGTCGTGCATTTCGATGTACTTGAAGAAGGCTGTGTATAATAGTCCATAATATCGATATCACAGGGATGGACTATCTAATTTAGATACCACTTTTAGCATCGATTTATATCTAGGTATCGATTTTTTTGAGAACGCTAATATGCAACTTAGAAAAATGAATGTTCAATAGTCATTCTAATAAAACATGCCTGTTTGTAGAAAACATGCGTGTGTTCGTGCAGGCAGGCAGGGTGGTGTGGTGGTGGTGGTGGGGGCGCTCAAGGGGGCGCTCAAGGGGGGCCTCGCCCGGGGAGTAATTCCATGTAGAACTGCCACTGCAATGTGGGTTCCCATATCAGGGGGGCGTGGCCTAGGGATGATGACCGACGGGAGGGGTGAGGGTTCTGTGACTGTGTTTGTGTTTTAAAGCCAGCTTGTTTTGCAGATTTGGTAAAGCAGCTAAGCATGTAAAAGTTACACAACCTGGTTTAAACACTAAGTTTGTACATATCTATGGTTAAAATAATGCAAAACCATAATAGACATGTGTATTTTTATTTTTTTGTCTGATTATTAAATCTACATTTGTGTGTAGTAGTTTAATAAACCCCTGTTATCAAGAAATGGTAGAATACACAAAAACAAGTAATTTCTATCCCAGATATATTGTTCAAGCAAACAATTCTGATATAAATAAGTAGCTATCACATAGGCATTCAAATATTCTTAAATTTATTCAAAAATATTCTTAAATTTATTCAACTTGTGTGGCTTTTAACCAGTCAGAATGTTGAATGTTACCTTTTAAAGGGTCCAGTAAGCTTTAAACTATCAGAACAGGGCATGAAGTCCAAATGAGTAAACTGATGCCTCACCTTTAAAGGAGACCAGGTCCAAAACTTCAACCGGTTTAGCTAAAAACACCTAGGTTTCCATTACTTTGAACTTGGTGATTTAACTTCTATTGTCCCTATCTGTCCCTCACTGTGACAGGAAAAATATCCTTAATAGGAAATTTGACTTGGACCACCCTAAAGTTTTTATATCAATGTTTGGATGGTGTTGCATGTTTTTAAAATCCATAATTGGACCCTATTT